TATGTCACGATACAAACGATGCAAATGACATAACCAACGAGAACAAAATTCCATAAACTGTTACGGATCCCATTTCGCTGTTAGCAAAGGATAACCCCCACACGGAAATTGAAAATATTCTAAAATTTTGGGGATATTTAGAGGATATGTAGATGCGTATTACGCATTCCTTTTTCCTCGGGTCAATTCATTTTAAGGGATGGATAATATAGCCCCAAATATTCGACAATTTTTTATTGTATTGCTGTAATTCACAAACTGTGCAGGATAAGAAATAGTCATCAAAGAAAAGTTACTTCTTTTGTTCATGTGGTATATGATTTATTCATTGTTTACACGATTGGAAAAAGATATAAACAACAAAACTTAAAGATTCTCTGCGTTTGTACGAAACTTGTCGATCCAACAACAAGTTAAATCGCGACGAGTACACGCGAGTCTACAAGAGCATTATTTTCTAGGACCGACGGTATATTTGCGAAGCTGCTCAGACTTGGAATCGCTACGAATGATCTGAAAAAACGGTGGTACATTTTCGACGGGCCCGTCGACGCTCTGTGGATCGAGAATATGAACACTGTACTCGACGACAATAAGAAACTCTGCCTGACATCTGGGGAAATTATGAAGATCCTGCCCACTATGACGATGATGTTTGAAGTGGCTGACCTGAGAGTTGCATCCCCGGCCACTGTCTCGAGGTAAAATGTGCGAATCTTGCAAACAGTACGTCGCAATTACAATTGCTCGAGAAAAAACTCGCGAGACCAGTCCGAGTTTTATTTCACTTAAATATTAAATTTCGTGTACTGGGTTTCGTTGAAAGCGGAGAAAAAGTGGCTCGTTTAATTGCTTCCAAACAATAAGAGCAGATGAAATATACGTAGAGACATAAATTTAACTAAAATAATCAATTAAATTAAAGTTGAAATATTTCTTGGTAGACTTCCGTGTATATTTTCCCAACTGACGTGTATGGACTAATTGCATATAAATTTTAATTTAACGTTTAATATTTCGCTTATTAAACATAAATGAATTATACGTTCTTTCATCCAAAGTAAAGAATAATTGATTAGCAAATCAATTATTATCGAACGACAAATATAATTTCAATTAACTGTAATAAAATTATCATTTTGCACCGTGTAAGCACCGTCCAAATTATCATTTTGCCCCTGTAAACATAATTAACTGATCCATTTTTCATTTACCGCTTATCTGCGATAAAATTCTTTAGCTTATTTTCGATGAAATTCGCTTCGTTTGTTCATCACATTAACGCACCATGTGCGGGAGAGGTATTTCTTCTTAATTTAATTTAATTTTTTAAATTTTGTTATATATATTGAAAGAGCCCCTCCGCGGAATCCTAAAAATCCTCGTTATATACTTGTTATCAAAATCTTATTGTCAGTTTTGCAAACATTAAATGTCAAGCCATGGTCCGCGCACATTCGATTTATACCGGATCGGATCGATAGTATATACAGGGTGTCCCAAAAGTCAGTCGTAATCCGGAAATGAGGGGTTCCTAAGGTCATTTGAAGTATTATTTTCCTTAGCACAACTGGTTTTCGTCCGCTCATTGGCTTGGACGCCTTGCGCAAACCAAGCTCGCCTCTTATTGGTCAATGTTTTTCGTTAATACCTCGTAAACAAAGCAACTGAATGCATTTGCGTTAAGGAAAAAGTTACTTCAAATGGCCTCAGGAACTCCTCATTTCCCGAATGCGAATGACATTTGAGACACCCTGTACACTCGCCACGGGAAATATATTGACAGCTTTTTAAACGGAATAACTTTTCCAAAAGGCTGACTTGAGGATAACTTTAAAGATAAAACTTTTAAAGGATAACTTTTCCAAATGGCTTGAATTTGTTTTAGATGACAGAGGGACTAGAATGCTAGATAATGATTAGAATATTTTTTTAAATTTTGCTATTACTTGGAATTCCGCAAAAAGATAAAAAGACTTATGTTTTTCAACCTTTTTTGTCGCAGGGGTTACTGCGACGGTTTATATAAAATAATCCGAGAGTTTTTTTGGTTTTTATATAACGAGAACTTTAATATAACTTGTAACAAAAGGCGATGAGGTACAGTGTGTAGAAGGTAAAGGTAAACGAGTGACGGATGATACAGAAATATGAACACGTTGAGAGTCGGAGGAAAACTTGCTAACTGACTTCTCTCGGTCGAGAGGTCCTCGTATTTATTGGTAAGGGAAAGTCCTTGAAATTGGTAAGGGAAAGTCCTTGGGAAGGGCGAAGGCCTTTCCCGAAGATTTTCCGACCGGGGTGATCCGGGACCTATGGTCCGAAGCTGTGTCCCAACGTTTTTATTGTTTTATTGCGGTGTGTACGCCTTGCGTCGGGAAAACCCGAAAAAGGCATATGTACACCCCGCTTTTGAAGGACGTGTCTTTTTATGTCTGGTCCGCAACACTTTTTATCTGAGTCTATAACGACAATTTAAAAAATGCGTTTTATAGATCTTGGTAACTTATATGTTTGCTGAATGTTTAATCGAAACGTTAATGATTAGTTAACGCAGAGTCAAGCTGCGAGTCTTGAAAGATTTAAGAATTTCTTTGAAATTCCGCAGTATTTCTTTGAACAAAAGATACGGGATGAGTACGAGCGCCAAGTGTACTATCCTAGCGAATCGCGAGCTCCTTTTGGGAACATCACGTCACAGAGTATGCATACATATATTCCGCCATTGTGCGGGGCTAATAGCACTCGGATAACAAACCTGAATTCTTTATAATCGATTCTCGTGGGACGAGCATGCTTGTCGATCACCGCTCGCTCAAAATAAAAAATGAAACAATGCGAACCGTGTGGCAATCGACGATGAGAAAGCAAATTGGTTTTAGCAAATGATCGTGATACGCTCCAAAATCAAAATCACCACCACAGACTTAAACGTTCGATCGAAAAAAAAATGAGTGGAAACATGTATGAAAAATTTCAGGAATTCTCGTGCCTCGTCGAATGTATAACAATGGCCGCTTAAACGTGACGATCATAAATGACTGGGCGTATAGTCAAAAGGGGCGCTCTCTCCTTTCACATTCCCGCTTCTCGTGTTCGAATAGCTGACATTCTTTTGGAATTATTTGCCAAGAATTCGCAAAGATCGCAAGAAGCCTATACATATCGCTGCTCTAATTCAATATTCAGATATGTCTAAATAGTGAAGTTCGAAGAAAAAAGCATTTAAGAGTTTATTTTCCCAATAATAATTTAGTTTTCGAAAATAATGAACAGTGGGATGTGACGATTAATGTTTTTGCCTTATACAGTAATTTCTCCTGGAAACGCCGAATTTCGGGTTGCTATGAATTTCCCCGTGCTAGTCCTACGTAATTTATTGCCTTTATGCCTATGTAATTTATTGCTACGTCGATGCTAAGGATCGACGGAGTTGGTCGATCGTGAGATGCGGCACGCGATGCAACTACTTTGACTCGAATGCCCGGAAGACAACACAAAATGGTCTGGGTGTGAGTCAGGTAAGAAAAACCGTGGAACTACAAAGTACATATGTAGTAGGTACTAGGTATATGTCCGACAAATCGTGGCACCTGGCTTACGAGTGCCGGTCGAATAAAAGCATCTAAACTACGAGTGTCGGTCGAACCTAGCCTCGAATAACATAACTTCACTGATATTTTATTCTGAACGATATACCATAAAAGGGTTAAAAAAAACGAGAGTCTTTTATTTTTCCTGTTATTTCAGATAATAGCAAAATTTAAGAAATGACGTTTTTGTCATTGTCTAGTATACTAATCCATCTATCATCCAAAAAAAAATCAAGTCATTTGGTCCAGTTTCAAAAAAGTTATTGCGTTTTAAAAGGTGTACGGACACTTTTGTAGGCCACTGTACGTACATATCTTCTTTGATGTTTCCTTTATATGAATTTCATATGTAGTTAAGAATCGGTTTTTCTAATGCTTTTTTCGTAAATAAAATAAGTCTGAAGTATGTCTTTTAATTGGAAGAATCTGATATTAAACAAATTTCCATGTATAAAAAATTAGAAATAAAAAAGTTAAATCATCGTTTTTATTCTAGTATTCATAGTATAGTATTATATATATATAGTACTATTATTATATATATATATATTATAATATATATAATATATTATTATATATATATTATAATATATATATAATATATAATTATATATATATATACATATATTTAATATATTATTATATTATAATACTAATATTCTAGTATTCTAGTATTTTAATGTATTCATAGTAATGTACACCGGCATGATGGCTGCTGCCTTTCCAGGTATGTAGTTTTGTTCTCTCTCTCTCTCTTCTCGATATGTCAGCAACTATAAAAACGAGCCTCCGAGGCTCGAAGAATCTTGTGGTCCCTTGAAATACACTTTCAATTCCGACTCCACGACACTCGTGGAGAAATTACTGTATTTGGTATGAAATAGTAGAATATCTTCAAGTCACGTGCTACGTGGTGATGAAACAATAACGGAGCACCGCTGTGTCATCCGTGAAATTAATAATTTGCGTTTTATCGGCAATTATACAGATGCGGCATGGTTTATCTAGAACCGGAAGGTCTCGGGCTTCAACCAATTATTAACTGTTGGCTGAAATCCCTGCCCCAAGTGAGTACTTTAGAAATTACTCGCGGTTGCTCCTATCAAAGAAGCTTGTAATAATCGAAATTCCAATAGATGTACTTTTCGCGTTCCTGTGTATTATCGCATATTTTAATGAAATCCGCAAGTCTATGAAGGTATTAATTAGGAAGTTTAACGCCTTCTTAAGGGAGAGTCATTTTGTATTCATGTAAGGAAAAGTGTTGTAAATTATTTAATATATTAATAATAATTATATATATATACATTTATGCGATACCGTTGAACAATACATCGATGCAAAAATAAGATATAAAAAATTTATAAAAGAATATTGTTAGAACAAACAACAAGATGGGTCTTTTCAAAACGTTCATGTTGCAAAACCCGCTTTTATCTCAACAGAATCTTATGTGCCTACAGAATCTTTGCATGTACTTTCTGACTGTATTTCATTTTCGGTCAGGTGTTAGATATTATATCACATGTACGTTCAAAGAAAAGCCAAAAAAAAGAAACAATTGCATCCAAGATCGACTAATGTGTTTGTTCACAATCAGTAAATACACTTACTTTCCGATACAAAATCAAAATGTTAATCTTCCATAAAACTCCTTCCGTGAAAAAACGGATGTTGAAAATTCTGAGAACATTTTCTGACCGCCCCCTCCATTAAATATGCTAGGATTAATACCGTTTTCCCTACGGAAATATTCGGTCGAAATTGCTGATATTTGTAAAATTAAAAGTAAGAAGTAGATCCTTCTTTGAAACGACAATCCGATTAGAGGGTTTACCATTGTATTTGGAAAAGTTCTCAGAATCGTTTCACATTCGTGAAATTCCCGCAGTTTTAATTATTCAAAGCTGGGATAAATTCGAAAAGTTGAAAGTTCTCGTAAAATGCTGTCTACAGTACCAGCTATCGAGTTTTCACCGACAGGGTAGAGTGGAATTAGAGGAGTGGTAAATCGCGTTTCCTACGCAATTGCAGAACATGAGCAGTCACGTGGAGACCATCGGTCAACTGACGAGTCAGTTTCTCCTTCCGGGCCTGCAAGTTGTTCGTAGTAGGCTAAAGGAAATCGTGAGCACGGTCGATTGCGGCATGGTGCAGTCCTACATAAATCTGATGAACTTCCGGATAGGCCCGATGGCAGGCCGCGAAGGGAAACCACCCCCGCCCGCAGCACTGCAAGCCTTAATTCGTAACGATCGAATTCAATTATTCAGTATAACACACTTCATTTAACATTTCGTCGCTCGATTTACCTGATTTATCATCGACTGGCCAGAATTCCACTTGAAATAATGGTTCGACTTTAAGAATCTTACCTGCTTCATTCTATAATATACGAATAATATATACAATATATTCAAATAATATATATATATATATATATATATATATATATGTATGTGTGTGTATATACACATATTATTAGTATATACGTATATACAAATCATATATCGTATATACATATATTCATCAATAACATATAGACATTTAAACAAGTTTTAAATAATATTTAGATAATATTGTTGACATAATTCGAAATTCATTTTTCTCAGTTTAGATAGAAAATGCTCTCGTTTCAGCCGATTTGTTAGCTCCATGGGCAGCTTTCGCCGCAGTATGGAGCTTAGGCGCCTCCAGCGACCACAATAGCCGGCGTATATTCAGCGAATGGATCCGAGAAGTTCAGGAAGCTTATGGCCATCATCCACCGTTCCCTGAAGATGGTCTCGTTTTCGACTACAGGTAAGTAGAACGTTCACTATTGATCAATCCTTTAACAGTTCAATAACAAATTGAGTTTCTCGTAATTAAAATGTATAATTTTTAAAGTGTAAAAAAATCTGTTACGCGAGTACCTGTCTAGCAATTACGTCGAGTGTGATATATTTTAAAATAAAGGATACGCAATCGCGCATTTCAATCCGTGCAGTAATACCTCAATTCTCTTTTCGCCAAATCGTTTCGAGCTGTAAACATGTATGACAGAGTGAACTTCGGCTATTTACGTTACTCTAAACAACTAATGCATTAGCTAGTCTAAACATCCCCTGGTCCAGAGTCGCATTTGGAATAAACATTTCGCCATTTGTCGCTCTGCTCGAGTCAGACAAACTGTTAAGGGGTTAATATTGAAACGCTATTGATCCAATGACTGTTAACCGGATAGCTGTTGCAATAGCTTTGAAAAGTGCGTAAGTTACTGTGATTATACTGTACACGTTTAATTTTCTACACATTTCGTTTAAATACAACATTTTTATAAAATATATAATTTAATAAAGAACATCAAAGTACATATCCTTCTTAATGAAACTGCTGCTTATTGACGAGTGCACTCGTCATGAAAAGATATCAACACTTTGCGATACAGCCAGTATAATCGTCAAAAACAGCTAAGAGGATATCGTCTGTTCATTAAATTTCAGTCATTCTGCGTACAAAAGCACGATTATTGGAAATGGTATTACATAGCAAATATAGGGCATCCTATTATATTTTTTTCGAATAATTCATTTGCAGAGGAATGGTTTAACGTAGGCTTGCTGTTATGCAATGGCTTATTATTTCATTGCAGATTACACGATGGCGGTTTCACCGATCTCATTGAAGGACAAGAGCCAGTTCCGCCCAGGTGGTATAAATGGTTAGACGATGTAGCACCGATCGTAATTACTCCCGCTACGAAATACGCAGGTTTGTGGTATCAATATACAGGGTTCCCCGGAAAGAATCATCCGATTTCGAAAATTTATATTTTAAAAAATTACACACAGAAAATTATGATTCAAACACGAATATAACGGGAAAATGTGCGAGTTTTACTTTTCACCCCATTGGCACTTGGAGGTTCGGAATTTTCTTAACACGGAACTACCAAACCGTTAGATTGGTCGCAGTTCATCCGATAATATGGTTCTACACAGTTGGCCTCCGAGATCACCCGACCTAAACCCATGCGACTTCTCTTCCTTTGGGGATTTGTGAAGGATCTTGTCTTTGTACCACCTTTACCTACAAGTGTAAATGAACTGAAAAAACGCATTTGTGATGCTGTACAAACAATCACCAGAGATACATTACACCGTGTTTGGCAAGAACTTTCATATCGCAATGATATCATACGTGTAACGAAAGGAAGTCATATTGAACACTTGTAAACAAAAACTCACACGTTTTCCCGTTATATTCGTGTTTGAATTATAATTTTCTGTGTGTAATTTTCTAAAATATAAATTTTTGA